TCGAGCAATTGGACAATAATCAGCAAACAGAACTGGTATACTGTTACATAGTAACAAAGCATAACTAAGATTTTTCGGAAAAAAAAGTTATTTGTTATTTTTTTGTTATTAATAACGAATAACTTTTTTTGTTATTGTTATTAATAACAATAACTTTTTTTGTTATTTGTTATTGATAACAATAACTTTTTTTGTTATTGTTATTGTTATTAATAACAAAAAATAACAATAACTTCTCACCCCTATTCTCTTGTATTAACTTTTATTGCTGAAAAATCAAATACTTTCTAAAATACAAGTTTTAAATTCACCGTCTCGTTTATGATTATTTGATACAGACTAGTCTCATTATTTTGAAAAGTATCTAATTTTTCACTTGTTGAAGATTTACTAATTTAGTGTCTTATTTTTTTCATAGTGGAATTTAGCTTGTGAACATGAAAGCTGGAAAAACCTTATGAAAGGTGCAATAACCTTTTTAATTGCGAAGCTCATTGGTGTTATAATAATTGGCATTTTGGCTGATCGATATGGAAGAAAATTAATGCTTTTAATGTGCCTTTATATACCGGTGGTATGTCCTTATAAAATATTTCTGTTTTTTTGTTTTTTCATGTTTTCCTTTTAGCTTTTCGGATCTTTAGCTGCTTTTACTACAACCTATACTCTATTTCTTATCCTGCGTTGGCCTGTAGGATTCCTAAACAGAGTTAGTTCATATTTGATTCAATTAATCGATATATATATATATTTTTTTTTTTTTTTTTAAATACATTAAGGTCTTCTTTTGCTTGTTTTTATTATGGTTATTGAATCATGTGAATATAAACATCGAGCACAAATTGGTTGTCTTCTTCTTGCTTCTATACCTATTTTTGGTATTATTATTGGTGTTACTTATTTTTTTCTATCAGACTGGCGTCATATGAAATTGCTTGGTATTTTTTTCACTATTGATTATTTCATTTTATTTTAGCTCTTACTCTTTCAATTTAGGTTCATTGATTACTACTTTAACGCTTTGCTATCCATGGTAAAATGAAATTCTGTTTGTCTCTGAAATTTTATTCATTGAAAATTTAGGTTAATACCGGAATCTCGTCGATGGTATGTGAACAGTAATCGTATATCACGTGTTAATAAACTTTGACAATTATGTTCGAGTACACCAGCAGCAACATTAAGTTTAAATAAAATTGGTTCACCAGCACCAACAACAATGATCTATGATAAATCAATCTTATCCACAAATACTCGTGGTGTTCAACAAGGTTCAATATCATGTTTATTAATAAATCAACAAATTCGTACAATAACTTGTTGTTTATTTATACTCTGGTTTGATTGTTTCTTTTTTTTCTCGTCTTTAATTTTATTGAAATAATTTCTGCTTCGATTTGTTTAATTAAAGGTTTCTTTCGTCATTCTGCTATCAATCTACATCTTTTCCAACAATATTTTCACATCCTGCTATAAATTATGTTTTGATGAATGCTACGGAATTTTTTTCATTTATTATTGCACTTATTGTTGCTTATAAGTAAGTTATGAATAAATAATAGAATAGAAGATATGATTAAAATATTATAGAATTGGTCGTCGAGCTCCATTAGCTGTACTTATTTTAATTAGTGATCTTTCTTCTGTTTCATTAGCAATTACATTACTTGAAACAGGTTTGATAAAGGAACAAAAAGCTGAATTTTTATAATTAGTTTTATTTGAAAGGACATACATGGCTTGAAATAATATTATCATTTGTTGCACGTGTATGTTTACGAACTTGTTATTGTCTTCTGATTTTATTTACAGCTGAAATTTATCCAACATCAGTTCGGTAAATCCTTTCTTTTATTTTTTATTATATACAAATTACATCTCAATATTGGATTTGTTTTGTAGAACAACAGGTTTGGCCATTGGACTTGCGAGCGAAGCTCTAGCACGAATCTCAGTGGAACTTCTTCTTTATGTATGTTAAATTTTTAATTTTAATATTCTCCTGTCCTTTGACTAACTTAAAAACTTTGTGCATTCATTTGCATTTACTGTCTTTAAGTGGAGTTCGGTAGGACTGGCATCTATGCTGATAGTTCTTTACTGATGAAATTTTTAATGAGATCCTTGCAAGTACAAGCAGATGGACTTGTTCATTTAAGATTAGAAAGCTATCGTATTCATTGATCGAACGGATTATTATAGGAGCTGTCTATGTAATGCTGAGTTGTAACTAGTCAGTTCAAGAAAATGTTTCTGACCAGTAAAAATCGGATCGATCCGCCAACAACGATCTCAACATAAGTTTGATCTTTATTAAAACATGCTTCATTTATTTTTAACTTCTGTAACATAGTTCTGATCATGCTTTTTTAAAGATGAAAGATACTGCGATTAGAAAAATAAAGTAAAGTGGATAAACATAAGAAAGTAAAACAGAATGTTCTTAAAACCATACTGTTTGATTGTGTTGATAAGAGTCAATAAAATTGCTCTCAACAAGTTGTATCAGAGAAAAATAGAATATCTATAAAATATCTTTCAGCCAGTGAAAATCGACTGGATCGGACTGGTTACAACTCTATTCGAAAATTTCTTTGCTACCGAAATTGACATATTTTTGTAAGTTATTTTATCTCGACATAAGAATTCGAACTGATAAATAGTCAACAACACCTCATACGGAAAATCATATCTATTGACACAACAGTTCTATTGAGATCTACTTATGTTGCTAAACATGATAATTTTCAAATTCTGTTAGATTAGATAAAAATTTTACTGAATTTTTTTAATATAGTATACAATTAATCGATTATTACTTTTATTTATATCTGGTGGTATGCTATGTGTTAGTTGTTGTTTAATATTTCCATTACCTGAAACCATGCTCTATGATATACCTGATTCATTTAATGATCTTCAATCATTGAAACGTTCATTAGGAGATGAAAATGGCAATAAAATATTACCACATAGTTCTCATTATCATATGATTGATTTAATTACACTTACACGTCCTCGTTTATCAGAATCAAATACAATAGCATCGGATCTTAATGATTTATCTTCATTACATGCTAAAACAATTATAAAATCACAACAACAAGGAGATGGTGATGAAAAAAGTCTAACGCTTCGTTCTCAACCTGAAATAATCCAATTACATTCAAATCCATCATCAATAAAAGGTCTATCAAATCGATGTTATTTTGCATCCTCAAATGATACAATTGATCAATTTGATATTGAACAACAGGCAAATAATCGAGTAATGATTAGTATTCGAGGTGCACAAAATAATAATAACAATAAAAACAATAACAAAGAAGAACGAGAAAATACCAAGTTTTAAAAAGAAAGAAAAATATACATTTATATGTGTGTATGTATATATATTCATAATTCATGAAAAATATCTTTGTTGTATCATTTTTTTTATTTATTATTAAAATATGAAGAATTTATTAAAAATAATATTGAGCGTAGATAAATATGAAACTTATAAATCAAATGTATAACATTCAACAAAACCTTTAGCAAATGTATAACGAAGAATGTCTTGAAAATTTGATGAGTAAGTGCGACTAAAAAATACGCTCGTTAAATAATTCTTCTTTTTTATGAATTTATTTAATGATGTCTAGTCTGCTTATGGTTCTCGATTAGAGAGATCTTTCCCTCCTAAAACGTCTGATTTCCTGACAAATCTGTACAGCTTTGTGTTAACATTGAACAGAAATCAAGCTTTGGACTTGGATAGTCTGGTAGCGAGTTGTCTGTTTTGAAAGAAACCCGAGTTACAATGAATTTCGCTCTCTTTCCACTCTCCCCCTTTCAATATGTCTTGGCATAAAAACACTATGTATCGTGACAGAAACGCAAATATTAAAGAGCTTTGATTTATTAATGAATGTTCAGGGAAGTTCAAAATAAAAATAATTATGCAATATGAAAATTTACATAGGAAAGAGTTTGATTTATTATCCCAATATCAAGTCATCTCTATGAATGATATTTATTATTCTTATAATGCAGACAATGTCTGATAAAGATTTATACTGATGCAGATCAAAGAATACTATATAGGTAAAAAATTCTGAATGTACTTAACCTTACGACATGTGAAATAATCACACATACGAGTATAATCGGTCAATTATCCATTGACATACAATCGATTCGTTTTGATATAACAATAAAATTGATGATAACGAGTATGTCATGCAGAGGTGCAGAATATACCCGACTGCGCCAGCGCCGCTGGAGGAAAAATTTCGATTTCTAGGGACGGTTTGGGGAAATTGCTGGGGAAAAAAAATCGTTGCTGGGGGAAATTTTTCGAAATCACGGCAGATTCTGCACCTCTGATGTCATGTGGAGAAATTATCTTCAAATTGGGTTAGGACAGAATATACGTATCGATACGATACTTTTTGATTGAATCTCATTAATTTATTACTTATTATAACGAAACGTTGTTGATTTGTATTAATATATTAACTTCTGTCATTTTTCTCATATTGAAAATTTATTAAATAAAATACAAATAAAAATCTATTAAATAGAAAACAATCAGTTAAAATAATAGTTAACGAATATTTCATCTCAAATTGAGAACATTCTTGCAGTCTAGAGTGGAATACTTATGAACAAAATGCAAACAAATTCAACGTACGTGTCCAATAACTAGATCGATTGATACTTAGTGAAACGTCAAACAGTTCAAATACTTTTCTTTTCTCTCTTACATATTCTTCTCTCTTCGGGAAAAAAAAATATCGAACCTAATGTGCAACAGTCATTTCTCGTACAGTTTTTGTCAAGTAAAGTTGTATATATAACATACAATGAAAATACAAGAAGTCAGACCTTTATGATTGTGTAAAAGTTTAAAATTAGTATGTACATATATGGTAAGTAATTCAATATAAAACTGGATAGTACTTTTTAAAAAAATATTTAAATATTTGGTTTTCTGTAAATCACCTCTGTTTTCGAGTTCATTCGTATTATTCAATATATAAACTCGAACTCACGAGTGGATATACAGCCAGATTAACGACATACGATTATTCATTTTATAATGATTTATTTTCTTAAATGCTTGTCTATTTCACAAGTTAGAAATCTATATAATTATGAATTTTCAACATTGTTTTTCTTTTCGATAGCAATCCAATACATCCAATCAGTCTCGTATTCGATAATAAATTAAATTTTTTATATTTAATAAAAACAAAAACAAAGATATCTGAATTTATATTACTTATCCGAGAAAGCTTGTATCCCAATATCAATAGGAAAGAAATCTTTTAACATTACTATTAATCTGACAGTTTATTAACTGTTTTAAATCAGTGATGAATATTGAATAGTTTATATTTGCTACTTTGTTGAATATGTACAAGGCGTCTGCAAAGTTCCATCTCAAAAGGTTAATTTGTTTTTTTGAAAATGATAGGTTATATACCAAGTCTTCAGTTATATGAATAAACTTGAAAAATATCCTTAGCATCTATTATTTCTAACCCAAATTGTCAATTGCTCAAATACAAATCGTGGAAAGATGCCCTTTGTGGACTCTTCGAATTTCTATAGATTTAAACAACTTGTTGTTTTCTTATTCTCAAAGTTGCAGAGCATAAGAAATAATATATAAATAAGATGTATATTGTATTGAACACATCGTTTTTGCAACGAATTTCAGCTATGAATTCTTTTTCAGATAACAGATGTTTGTGCAACTATGAAGTATTTTAATGAATTTGTATAAAAGTAGCTGTTGGATTTACTAACAGTCAACTGATAAAAACCATTGGACACATGTCTCATTTCTAAAAAAAAAACAACGCTTTAGACGTTGGTGTTACTTGTAGGAATAGAATACAGAATGAATTCTATCGATAATAATAGACTGTAGACGAGAGCTAGAGCAATTTGCTTAATATTAATAGTATTTTATTATTTGAAATTTTCAAATAAAAAATAAACCAAACTTTGTCATATAACAAAGCGGAAGAAGTAGCAATCTTACCTTGAACTGAAATATAAAAGTTTAGCTCTTTTTCTATATGTAAAAAGACATCTAATAATTATTTTTTAATTGCTTCATTTTCTTGGATGTTATTCACGCGATTACTGTCTGCACATTGGTTAATAATCACAACTGCTATATTTATACTCAAAGTGATCGATGTGCTAATTAATCGTAGTCTCTGATAAAATACTTGTTCATGTTTCTACATATAAATAGTGTTCTTTTTCGTCAAGCATAAAACGTCATTGTTTTAATTCATATTAGTAAGATTGAACAGACAATATTCTCATATTCTAACATCTGAATCAGTCAGTAAGTAGTATTTATTTCAAATGAAAATATGTAGAGAAAGAATTCAAGAAAGATGTATGAGCTAATCAAATGAACATATCTTTAGCATTTAACATAATTACAAAAAAACAACAAAAAATAGTTACATTTTTGAAATAATTTGTTGAATACAATCCAAAACTTGAAAAATAATAGCACGATCATTAGCAAACACCAAAGATAGTCCCTGACGTTCTTCACCGTTTTCGCGCACTATGTACTTCTTTATTTGAGTATGTTCCATCGGTTCTACTCCATTTTCAACACTCTTTAGAAGTGCATCCGAAAAATTGTGTGAATAAAAATAGACGTGGCAACCGTATACACGAATCATGAATAACATTATCTATAAAGAGAAAGTAATATTAAAATCATTGATGATAACTAAGAGACAGTTCA